GTTCTCAAGACGTGGACATTCCGAAGGTCGCGCCAGCATAAGGGCATGCCCGGACAAAGAAAGCAATAGAAACAGTATTTCGCACTGATGGCAGTCCCAGCCCATTAGCTAAACGCAATCTGTGGTCGCGCAAGCATGAAGGCAAGAGCGTGGGAGGATCCATAAGTAGTTCGGCGCCTCGGACCGATCACCGTTCTCACGAGTTACTGAAAGCAAACAGACGTCAATTCTCCCTCCACCTAGTGGTTCTGCGAAGACATGGTCATCCGTTTGTACGGCGTACAGATCAGTATGTGATGCTCGTACAAGGGGTCCCGACGAAGGGGAGAGCGCAATACCGTATACCACTCAACAAAAACACACAAATCGGAGCCGCTTTGAACAATATTTCGGAACTGAAGTGCATTCAGGTTGTAAATCAATACAACGCCGTAACGATACGATACAATTCTACCAAGTCTATCCATTCGCAAGCCGCTTCCAGCCCAGTACTACATTGACATCCTATCCGCGAGTACGCTGCCGCTCCACTGTTCATCAAACGGACGTCTGGTTCACCTTCTGATGCCACTCAACATCATGTCGAGCCTTCTCACGCGCATTCCTGAAAGGAACCGCATAGTACGCGCATCCATGGACAGAGCAGCAGCGGGTGTACAATGCGTGATGGCATTCGGTGTCGTGTCGGACCTTCTCGTGGAGGTTTGGGAAGGGTACGGCGTAGTATGCGCAGTTGGGGACGGTGCACGTGTTGTTTCTATAATCATCTGAAGGTTAGGTAGGGAAGGCGAAGGGTGAGGTATAAGCGTACTGGCTTGACATGATGTGAAGTATTGGTGCGAAGCGGATTAATGCGTTCAAGTGAGAATGGGAACGTCCAACTTACGATGGTTTGAACGAGTTTATATACGCTGGCCGTAGGCAAAGGCCTCATCTGAAATAATACAAAGAGATTTGTGCTGCCAGATGCGCATTGTCTTGAGGTCTTTCGTCTGACAGACAAAAAAACCCACATTTGACGGCGTCATCCGACAAAAACACATATGTGTGTGTTCTGAAGGCATTTTTCTATTATCTCAGGCAGTTGTCTAATTGTATGCATATCCTAAACAAAACTCGGACCGTCTTCTCAGACGTATATAACGGACGTCGTTGCATACTAAACCAAAGTCTTCTCAGCCTCGACTTCACATCAACATCATGACAGGTCGGTGCGTCTCCCTCGCACCTCGCCCAGGGCCCTTACCTCCCACTCAAACCTAACCCAGAAACAACATTCTCTGCTGCCCCATCCCCGAATGCGCATACCACACGGTACCCTTCGCAAACTACTACGAAAAAACCCACCACGACGCAGAATGGCATTACGCGTTTTACACGCTTTGCTGCTCCATGCGTGAATGCGCGTACTACACCATACCCTTCGAAAAAGCTCAACACGACGCCGAATGCCATTACATCCAAACCGCCACACGTAATTTCGCACACTGGGTTCTCTCCTGCCTCATCCCCGAATGCGCTTAGTACTACGCGACGCCCTCCAAGAAAAGGCGCATCACGACGCTGAATGGCATTATGCGTTCTACGCTACTGGGTGTTGCTGTGTCCCTGATTGTGCGAAGTATGCGATAGCTTTTGCGGATGTTCGAGAGAAGGTTTTACATGATAGGGAATGGCATCAGATGGGGTAGATGGTATTTGATACTCGATAAACGTCAGGCAGGGTTCATTTCCAGATGAGATATTAACGACGGACCGGGACGTCGGAGCTGAGTAGCACTTGGGGAGTAGACTCAGTGGTATAGCTAGTAGTGTACAGTATATCTTACGGGCTCTTGTATTTGAAATATCCTTGATTCGACTAACACTCATTGTGCCAAGGCGTTATGTTAACTTCAATCACGGTATGTACACAACTATAGCTACAAAACAACTAAGTATGGGCGCCGATCGGTCCAACGCACCAAACCCCATGTACACACTGCTGCCCATCATCCTCCCATCATCATGTTCTGGGCTCATGCACAAGTCAGGCCTCGCGGCGGTGTACGATGAAGTCGAAACTCGATCCCCGCTACCCGATTTGAACAAATCGCTCGTGTTGCGCAAGGTGTATACGAACAGCGAGATGGAGGTATGGGACGCACGACAAGGTTATTGACAAGGAATCGGAATACGCTGAGCTAGCTCCGGGTTCAGCACGCGTGTGAATCTACGATCCAGTCCGAAATTCAGAGGCGTACTCGCTCCTACATTGATTCCGGAAAAAAGGTTGTTATTATAAATTATGGATTAGATATAGACATCAGATAGTCGACAAAAAGCCAATGCGACAAAAATTCATGATATAGTGGACGTATATATGTACACAAAGCAAATGCACATTGTGTTTCTAGTTAGAACTTTTGATTCAGACAGCGTCGGTCAAGGTCGAGAATGTCGTGACACTTGCCGGTGGAACGACAGGATGGAGGTTTGTGGTGATGGACGGAGACAAGATCAGAGGCGTCGTCAAACCCTGAGAGATGTCCGGCAGAGCCTGCAGGGTAGACATTGAGGGTGTGGCACTGATGGATGAAACCACTGCATCCTGCTCGGAAACACTGGTGCCAGTATCTCGAAGTGCCACCTCATATCTACCCCCATGCTCAATTTGCGCATGTTTCTTAATTTTGCCTCTATTTGAGTAAGTCGCAGAGTAGCCAGTAGTAAGTACATCCTGGAATAGTGCAGAACCAGCGATATTCTGGATGCGCATCCTTCACGTGGCGGTAGACAAGTGCCTGCGCGGTGTTTTGGGTGCTGGGTGGTGATGAATCCCATACACAGATGGGGCATTTACGTGTGTAGATGGGGTCTCTAAAACCAGGCAGAAAATTAGTTCATGAAGAATGAATTTAAATGTGTACACGTACTCTTTAGCCATTGCGCAAATATGCAAGAGCGGGCATGGTTGTGTGTTTGGACGGCGTAGACTCTCATGCCTTATATACCCTTAACTCGATGGTCTTTTTTTCTTCTTGAGTACATGCACTGATACGATACAAACAAAAAGTGCGTTCATGTAACACTGTTCATTTCATAACTTGCCTCTTTGTATTGCATACAAAGACACTCGGAAACGCCTCATTCTTGTCGACATGAATGTTCTGTGTCCCGCCAAGGGGGAATTTCCCGTGATAATCCGTTTGTGTAAGAAAATCAAATTCCTCTGTCATACCACCATATCCGTGGACTCGCCCTCATAATGCAAACCAAGTCTGTGGATGAGCTCCTTCCACCGTGCGGCTTTACTTTCCAATGGCATGAGTTGGGAGGTCTCGAAAGGCAAGAGGAACCAAGAGCGTGTTTGTTCAGCGTGACTGGGGACAGTTCCGCTTTGGTAGTACGCACGCGAAGAGCTGGTGAAGTTGCCTTTGAGTTTGGTAGAAAAGAGCATCTGGAGCGTAATCCATCCATAACTCATCCACAATTCAAAAAGTGATATTATCGAACGTTCAGAGGTAGCGTTGAACCGGCAACTTGCGCTTTTGATCGGGCCGGGCATCACTCAATATATAGGTTGGCCATCACTCGATATAGGTTGTCCAGCGACCACGACATCGTTGGGCACCCGGCCTATCACGCTGTACTATCCCAAATACCAAAATGCATTCTCTCCCCTTTTCCTTTATTTCTTTCTGGTGCTCTGATAATGTCGCGTTCTGGATTTTCGGCTACGCACCGACTCTCACAGTCCAACGTCCGAGTTTGCTTCAAGACGCTTTCGGCCTGAAGCAATGATTTTATTCGTGGAAGAGGCGCGGGACCAAGTGTCGCAGGGCAGCAAAATCGAGGTACGCTCAGAGCCAGTGTCTTATTGTAATTCTGTCGGCGCTAGCCCAGTCAACGCACCCACAAGCTGTTAGTTGAAGGCACCACCATCTGCCCTACTTCCTACTTCCACCATCACTCGCGCTTTTGATCGGATTCATTTTCTGGGACACTGAGTCTCGATTGAAAGAGACGCAAGGGTGAAAGAGGACGCAGGGTGAATAAAAGAGACGCAGATGGAATCAAGGGGTGCGTGCTACGCTCAGCCCCGGTATTATTCTAATCCTGTCGGTTGGCGCTAGCCCTCGTTGAATGCACCACCACCACTCAACCCGCGATCCTTGCGTTCGTCCCAGACGTCTACTTCACCAGGGCGCAGCTACTCCCGGACTCGGGCGCTCTCGCCCTTCCATGTTCGGCGTCGCCTGAATGATGATGATGGAAATGGGTAGAGCGGTGGGACATGTCTTCTAGTAGCAGCAGACAAGCGGTTTAGTATCGCGCACGTTTTCTTTTCTTTCTTTCTTTCTTCCGTACTAGTAGAATGCATAGGCTGATGCGTGAACTTGCAGACGCTGATGCGTGAGCTCGCAGACGCAGATGCGTGAGCTCGCAGACGCTGATGCATGAACCTGCAGACGCGCGAGCAAGCTGCGAATACAGTCCCACCAGCTAGATGTGTGTCCAGCGCGCGCTGTCTCTCCCTCGTCGCACAGGCCATGAGCTTGCGTGGTGGGTCGTTCAGTGTGCAGGTTGAGAAAGATGAGATGGATAGTATGAAGACGCGGTGGGAAAGGTAATGGGGTTCGTGGAGGTGCATGATCAAGCTTTGGATGTAAGTTAGATGTTTGGCGGCAGATGTCGAAGCTGTTTTGGTTCTGCTAAGTATCAAGCGTTGAACGTTGTTACATAGTCAACCTATGAACTTTTTTTTAATGTATAAAGACGCGCCGCCGACGGTTTCCAAGTTGGGATTGGGATTCAACGCCGATGTCCGTTGTTGCTCGGGACGCCGCGCATTGCGCCGACGGCCTGTGGTTTACCGTTTCGAGGCGATGCTCCAAACCTTCTCAGGACCGAAAACGTAAACGTAAAAGCAAAGGATACGGCATAAAAAAATACACGCGCTCTCCAGTCGAAGAAGAAAGAATCCTTTGAGAAAAAAGAATCCTTCCCCCAACCATTAGTGGACACTCGGGTGATCGAAACCCGGACCTCCCGCATGCGAAGCGGGCGCTCTACCACTGAGCTAAACGCCCTACGCCTGTGCGGACGGACGGACATGCGTAGTGGTTGCAGTGTAGAACAGGAAGATGAGATAAGTGGTGGAACAGGAAGATGAATGGTGAATAGGAAGATGAGTGGTAGATAGGAAGTCTGAGATGAGTGGGTGGAACAGGAAGATGAGTACTTAGTGATTGTAGCAGCTGGAGATAGAGATAGGTGTGATTCGAGTGTGTATTATGTATACTTGCGCTAATGCACTTCAAATGACTTCGAGGTATTGCTATGACTTCAAGGTATGTCCTCGATGTTCGTGCATGCGCATCAACCTTAATGTCTTTTTCGAGTTGTGTGTTATGGGCTGAGAATCTGAAGATATCTGGCTTCACACCCGAGCTGAGTGCGGGAAAGCGCACGAGAGCGAGAAAGTCCACGACACGAGCACAAGCCGTGAGAAAGGCGCACGACACGAGAGATCCCACGACCCACGAGAAAAGCCCAAGGCGGCCCCGGACGAAAGAACGGATCCCAGAGTGAATGTTGCGGTCGGGCGCACAGCGCAGCGCGCGCTTCAATGCTCAGCGCTCACGTTCAGTACTCAACATCAATGGTCAATGTTTAGTATACAGTATTCGAACTCGATATCGATTGAGTCGGTCATCTTCATGCACATGCATAGACATTATAACCGGCGCTACGGGTGGGGATAAGTAAGCAGTCTGACGATGCTTTTCATGAGCGGAATTCACTGTAGAGGTAGAGGTGTATAATCGCGTTTATGCATAAGTACCAGCAGAGGGCGCCCCGGGGCCCGGGCGCCCATATATTGATCCGTCCCAACCGATCCCCGTCCTCCCTCTGCTTTGATCCGGGGCGCTGTGATCCGAGGGCCCAGGCAATCGCATCACCGCTCCAGCCCCTGAGAAGACCCAAAGTAAATCGCCTTGTCTGTCTCTTTTCGCTCTCTCACCACCTCAGCGTCGTTCGTTACGCTGTTTGTCATTCGTTTTATTTCTCGGGGAAAGCAAATACATGGAAAGCAAGTTGGCGTAAAGGAATATAGGATTCAGAAGGACGGACGGAATTGCTTGTGTGACGCGACTCTGTTTACCACCACGACGCGAGACATATTCGTGCAGCGAAGAAGGAGAGAGGGACATAGCGAGACGCGACTGGCGAGGAATTTACAGGGCTGCGGAAAGTAGCAGGTACGCCGGCTTGACAACAAGGCATTTTATCGTACGAGCGTGTGGGCTCATATTCGTCCTGTGCGGCGCGACAGATTCAATTCTTTTGCATTTCTTCCATCTCCAGCGACCTTGTAGATTCAACGACTACACCAGGACCTCAGCATGCCGAAAAGTCTCCCGCCTATCCCTACGGCAACACCGCCTACGCCTCCGCCAAAGTTCTCTGCGCCGCCTTCCCCTGCGCTATCCGACGTGTCGTCGTCTTCATCATCGTCATGGCATTCTGCCGCGTCGACACTTCCTTCTTCGCCAGAGTCTGCTAGCTGCTTGCACCCTTCCTACGCCGGATCCAAGAAAGAAGCAGCGGGCGGGCATCTGCATCCGTCGCCGGGCTTGCATCCGACATACACTGGCGGCCTGCCTGCATCGCGGGAAGTAAGCGCGGGATCGTATGTGGTTGTGGGCAAGCCGGCCATCAGCAAGTCGTGTGTGCGCTTTGCGGACGTGTGTGTTGTTATTCCGGGGAAGTGCAAGTTGAAGAAGAGTGGGACGAAGGGGAAGAGTGTTTTGTCCAGGTGCGTGATCTTTCCCTCCTCTTGCTAAGGATGCTGACGATTCTGTGTAGTTTTTTGAACGCACCTACGCCGATAGCCAAGTCGTTGCCTGTGCCTACTAGTCCGTGTCTTCGAAGACACCCTTCTCTCCCGAACCTAGGACGTGCGCGGAGCAATACGACGCCATCGATGCCTCCGCTCCCTTCCAAGACAAAGAGCGGCACTCGGACGGACTCGTTGCAGCTCGTGTCCGCCTCCCCAACGCTCCCTGCGATCCAACGGGATTTATTGAAGAGCGTGCGGAAGACGCTGACGCGGAGCGGATCGAGCCAGAAGCGGCCGGGCGGGTTGGTGCGCTCGCACAGCGCGTCTTCGAAGTCGAGGACGGAGAGCGAGGATGAAGGGACTTCTTCGAGGATGAGTCCTTCGTCCCTCCCGCCGAAGATGAGCCGATCGAAGCCGTGCACGGTCTCCCTCCGCGCGTGCTGCGAGGCCTGTCTTCGCGGGATGGCGGAGGAGGAGGAGACGTTCACGGATGGCGCGAGGAGGTTGCTTGCCGGGCCTACTACTGCGGAGGAAGAGGAGGAAGACGGGGCGGCTGCTGCGAGGAGACGGGGAAGGTTGATGAAGAGGATGAGCGTGGACGAGTTGGAGGGCGCTCCGCTTGCTGAAGGACTCGCGAAAATGCATGTCGCGATGGACGAGAGCGAGGACAGCGACGAGGAGCTGTTCCCGTTGCCCAGCAGGAAGGGCATTCCGCCTAGTTTGAGCCGGTCCAAGGTCCCAGAGGTCGCCGTCGATTCAGGCGTCGAGTCCGGAGGCTGTTCGTCGCCTGAAGAGGATGCGTTCCCCCTCCCGAAGAGGAGGGTCGCTCCATCTGAGGACGACGATGGCCTCTTTCCTCTTCCCACGTCGAGGAAGAGGATTCAGAATGGTATGAGGGTAAGCAGTGTCTGAGGTTTGTTTCGTCTGGGCTCATCTGGGTTGCCAGCGATAACGCTTTCCCTTCTCACATCACATCTTGCCTTGCTTTCTTCCGCTGTCCAAACCACACAATCAATCTTGTTTTTACTTACACGTATATATTCATCCTCACCATTTTTTTCTTGTCATGATACCATATAGCACTCACCTTCATACTTATACCGCTGCTTGTTTCCCGTCCATCTTTTTCTTATGCGTTACCTTATCTCCCTTTTTGACACCCTCTAGTGATGTTCTAGTTAACGTGATTCAGCTCGTCATTTAACGTTGATATATATGGTAGCTCTCATGTGTATGCGTCGCAACAAGACGTTTTCGCGGTATGTAGATAGCGAGGAATCGAAATGTGGCCTGAGTAGTTGGGTCTTTTTGATTCAGATGGTACGGGTCTCGCTCGGGTTGTTCTGAGTTGCAATGTATGTTGACACAGTACGCACTTTGTTCTTCTTGTCGACTAGTAAGATGATATGCTGAGCTTGGTGATGTCGTTGTGTGATTCTTCGATAGCAAGGGCGTTTAGCTCAGTGGTAGAGCGCCCGCTTTGCATAGTCGCATGCGGGAGGTCCGGGTTTCAATCACCCGAGTGTCCACTAGGCGGAGCATTCTTTTTTCTTTCGAGTTTGGAGAGCGACGTCTTGGACAATGGAGCTACTCAATTATTCGATGTGAATGAAGGCTGGCTTTCCTAAAAGCCACTGGAAATCGGCTTCGCAACACAAGACACGGACTCAACATTGGCGCTGGTGTTGAACCTCCTACAAGCGTTCTCAAACTTCAGAAGCAATAACAAACGCTTGGTATGTAGATAGGCCGCAGAACCAAAGTGCCAGTCGAGCTTTGACATCTGACTCCCAGGCTATGTTGAATATTCAGGCGACTATCATGGACATAGTACGACTCTTAAGAGCGCCAATATCATTCCAATCTTTTCATAGCGGGTCAAACTACTACATTGTTCGTGCTAAGCAAAACTACAATTTACTGAACTTCTTGACCATCGCAATTTTTACGCCTTCTTTGACCCTCCCGCGTGTCCGTGCGTAATGTGGTCAAAGAATTCTGGTTCACCCTTAGGGACGGGAATCGTTGTTCCCCACGGAAGCTCCAGCGTTCTCGCCAGAACAGTCACTTCGAGTCGACTTTACTTCGGCAGGATCAACAACGCCGCCGTCCGCCTGCCAAATTATGAGACCGCGCCTGAGGTGGACTAAGAGAGACGCACATACCTTTTGAATGCGCCAGACCAGGTTGTACTCCAGGTAACGCGCGACCCTCGGATCGGTCAAACGACTTGATTTCACCTCGAGCTACCATGCTCTTTGTTAAGTTGCACAACGCCCTCAATTCGTTGCGTCACGGTTCTGGGTGCAGTTTGCGCAATCGCTCAGGAAGACTAATACGGTCAGAGAAGGTGTCAGTTTTCGCTCCCTGCGGCAATGGGATGTACACATACCTATTGACGAACGCGTGTCGACTGAACCAATGTAAGTAGAAGTTCGGCTCTGCAAAACCAGTCCCTCTTCTTCAGGGTAGCTGTCCTCGACCTCGCGGAGAAAAAGGAGGACGGAAAACGAGCTTCCGCCAAGTGCATCATCATATTGCTTGACCTGAACGTGGATAGCCCAATCCAATAGTCCGTCTCCCATGGCGAGAAGTTCGCTTGGGCCGTACAGCGCGTTCACCTTTTCCAGAATCTTAGTA